GTGAAACTTTCCTTGACCTCCAGGTCCTTCTGGCTGGTCTAATAATCACATAGACAGGAGACAGGTGAGCCAGAGAAAATGACGAGATTAAATCCGTATGTATGGGGACCCTGCATACGAGAGAGGCAGACTCAGGGGGATGTGGGTACAGAAGCCCTGCACTAGGGATGAGGTCAGGCGTCCTAGGGAGCTCACAGGGTCATTGTAAGATGATGAGAATGGACGTGCAGTAAATACAGTTGCCCCGCCAGATAGGTGAGTGCATCTGAGATTATCGCTGAGAACCTGTTATGGGCAAGGCCCCTAATTCAGTTCTAGGTCAAGGGTGAGGAACGTCCAGCCAGCGGGCTGAATAAGGCCCTCGAAATCATTTGGTCTGGCTCTGCCAAGGCATTAGGGGTGAGCTAATTAGATGTTTGACCAAATATAGCAGCCAATTTTTAAGCTGATGATTTTGTATGGCCTGCGAATGATGCCATAATATCCAAATAGGCCTTGGCAGCAAAAAGGTTCCCCACCCCTGCTTTAGGGACTTAAAGGGAGAGCAGAAGTTTCTCTTGGTCCTGAAGCTAAAATTGCTTTAGCTCAAAACAAACCACAGAGCACATCGTGGGGTCTGGCTCTGAATCCCCACAAGGGGTTTCATTAGTAACTAGAGGCCCGGTGCACAAAATTCATGCATGGGGATGGAGAGTCCCCTCAGCCAAGCCTGTACCCTCTCCAATCTGGGACCCCTCGGGGGATGTCCGACTGCTGGTTTAGGCCCAATCCCGGGGATCGGGACATCCCTCTCACAATCCAGGACCACTGGCTCCTAACTGCTTACCTGCCTGCCTGCCTGCCTGATTGCCCCTAACAACCTCCCTACAGGCCTGCTCGCCCCCAACTGCCCCCCTGCTGGCCTGGTTGCCCCCAACTGCCCTCTCTAACAGCCTGGTCACCCCCAAATGCCCCCCCGTCAGCTTGGTCACCCCCAACTGGCCCCTCTGCCTGCCTGGTTGTCTCCAACTGCCCCCCTGCCATCATGGTCTTCCCCAACTGCCCTTCCCCGTTGGCCTGGTCACCCCCAATTGCACCCTCCTGCCATCCTGGTCACCCTACACAGCCTGCTGTTCAGTCATTTGGTCATCCCTCACTAACCCCCCTGCCAGCCTTGTCACCCTATGCAGCCTGCTGTTCAGTTGTTATTGTTACTGTGATGGCGTCCCGGACAATTTGCATATTCCTCTATTATTAGTATAGATAGCTCTTACCATCTACCACTGAAAAGATACTGTCAATCACGTCAGAAGCCACAGGTAAGACACACGGGAAGGATACAGACACTGTCTGTTTTGTGTTCGTTTCAGGAGGAAATGAAATTCTCCTTGTTGGATTCATCTCATTCATTTTGAGTCCTTTTCACTCCATCAAATGGGAGCGTCCACTTTCTGGTCCTGAGCACAGCTGTGAGGGACGCACACCGTGCACAGAGGGACACATATGCCATACACAGGGCACCACTCTGAGTGCTCC